CTTAGGACCTTTAAGATAGTGTTTGAATAAATTACACTTTGATCACCCTTCTGTTGTGTGGTTTTGATTAAAATTTGACCCAACAAAACAAATCAAACTGAATGGCATTCCAACATTGTTTCCAATATTGATAATGCAAGTCTATGGTATTTTAATATGATTTATTGGTAACTGTGCAGAGTGGAATACAATTAAGGGAAGGTAAGAAACTTCAAATCAGCTGAGTGCATAATGTTAGGACAACTTATAATTACAAACAGCCTGGAATATACTCCATTTTGTTTAGTTTTCATGACTTGTATATGCCTACGAGAAGGTGTAGCCAAATTCATTGGTGAATTTGTAGTGGGCTTTCACCACCACTTGCTGTGTCCTCTTAGTAAATGTGATGGTGAAAGGAGTTTCAGAACTTATGGAAACTTTTGAAGTTCCTTTACTTATTCCTTTACTCTTCTTCGTTAGGAATTCTCGAACTGAGTCGTTGTTTAGCTCGGATAAGTTGCCAAAATCTCGAATAAGTCTGTTCTCTCGGTGATAGTAGATGACATCTGTGTGTTTTTCTTCTTTGTACGAAACACCATAAGCGGAACGGGCCTTTTTAACACTCTGTAAAATTAAGGAGAATATTTCCGAGGACATCGCCCGTTTAAACTCTACGGTCCAACCGCTTCGGGCCTTCATTCTTGGACTGAGGCGCCTATGGAGCATCTTTAGCCACATCTTTACTTCTCCTTCGAGGAGTGCTGACGCTGGAATTTGTGACATCTTAGCTCGTTTTAAAGAGCTTTGGCCCACACAGTGTTTTTCAAAAATTGAAGTGAGAGCTGTTTTCACTTCTTCTTTAAACAAAAAGAAATTATCGACTTCATTACGTAGTGGACGCAGAGCCTCAGTGGTGTTCAAAATAACATTTTGGACCGCCATTTTGAAAACTGTTTTATACTTTTATTCGTATCTCCGCTGTTCAATTTCAAACAACAGCGGGCGGCAAAGTTCCGCTTCACAGCGCGCGCCAGCCCGGCGTGAACTTGGTGGGAACCATTTGCCAATAAGTACTGCTACTGTCTGGAGGAGTGCTGCAATAAACTTGTTGTGAGTGCCTATCACTTCGTTTAACTTACTTTGAAGGTCTGTTGTTCCCAGGGATCAATGTTACTATAGGTAGTGTCGGCCGACATGGCAACCGACATACCGGTCGATATGTCGGTCGACAGTCGGTCGATAGTCGGTCGCTAGTCGATCGATGGTCGGAAAATAGTCGGTGGACATGTCGGTCGATATGTTGACCGATATATGTCGGCCGATAGTCAGTCGACATATCGGTAGACAGTCGGTCGATATTTGACTGACACTTGGCCGACACTAGGCCGATGCTTCACCAATACTTCACTGACACTTAAGTGATGCTTCAATGGCATTTGACCTATTGTCGACCGGAGTCCATACACAGAATGCTGAAAGCAACTGGTGTACGAGAAAGGAAAAATTTAAGAAAATGAAGGGAAACACAAACCCTGACTTTCTCCTTGAATACCTACAGGAATTCACGTGGCGAAAGTGGTATGGTGAGCCTCACCCAAATGGATGCTTTCGAAGGCTGCTCGCTGACATCGCTGAACAGTATCCCCTTTAAGGGAATCAGTCTAAACCATTGTATTCGTACGGGACCCAACACGTAGGAAAAAAAGGTCGTCTCTTTCTGCTGCCATCATCCCGCACCCTCAAAGTAGGCTTGGTTCCATACCCCCACACCGGAGTAAATCTATCTGAGTGTGTTGTTTTACAAGTTTCTTAAGACACAAAATAATTTAAATAATCTTTGTTGAGAAAATTTTTGTTGGTTATTTTACTCGTCAGAATAAAGTTTTATTGGTTTTTTTGCTCTTTGAAGAGATGCAATTCAGCCAGTTCCGGCTGTATCATAGACATGTATGAACTAAAAACTAAAAAGCATGTGACTCGGCTAGAGTTTATTCCCGTGAAGTGACGCCCCTTCGATTCGCATTAGTCATTAGTTATTGTAAATCTCCCGTTAGGCGAGTAGGAAAAAGCTAAAGTCTCAAAAGTATTCGAGAGAAAAGTACAAATTGAAACCATAAAGAGATTAGGTCTTCGGAAAGTTTTATCATCGATGCTAACTTTTTCTTAAAGTGGGACGGTGACGCAAGAATTCGCGTTTATGGGGATTTTGACTTTCCGTGATTGTTACTTGTTTAACGGACTTCAATTCGTGATTGGCTCATGTTGTAGTAAGTAGTCTAAAAGGCGTCTATATAGCACATCCCGCGGAGACTGGGTCCGGTCAAGTTGGGGCCGAGTGTGCCGAGTGTAGCATAGCCGAACGGAGCCGAAGTGGTGTATCCAAAGTATCGAGCCGAAGTATAGCCGAGGTAGTGATGAGCCGAGGTATTGTGTAGCATAAGTTGTTGAGTATATCTATGAAACGGAATGTTGAATGTCATGCATGTGGGACGTGAAAAGATGTTGTCAGTAAGCTTGTCTGCGCATGCTCGCTAACTTTACGCATGCGTATAAGAGGAAAAAACCTAAAAATTTTATTTTTGGTGAATTTTTATTTTATTTATTAAAAAAAAATGTGCGAGGAATGTTTTTTCCTGTCTTGTTCTATTCCCGCGTGGCTCCGGAAAAAGGAAACGCAGCCTGCGGCTGCGTCAGATTATTTTATCAGTTATTTTGTAGTGAAATGCGGAGTCATGTAGAGTTTGCGTTCAGTATCATTCGGGAGATCGAGGAGAGAACACACACATCTCGTTGTACGTTGTCAAATTACACAGAGGAGAATGAAAATCATGATTCTTCCCAAGCTTGCACTCAGTGTGATGAACGATAGTTTGGAAAGCATTGCTAGATTTGCAGACGCCGAAACATTACAGCAAATTGTAAACAGAGTAGATTTGTACCTTCATGACGCCGAAAGTTCACTATTGGACTACGAAACGCGTGACATAGTTGAAAAGAGAAACGAGATATTTAAAGCCGTCTTGGAATATACAAAAGCGGTAGTCGAACGTGAACTTTCAGACGAGAAGGATGGCCATGAATGCGGTAGATAGACAGCATTACATCCTGGACAATCCAAAAGTATCTGTGTTGGAGATTGAGAGTATTTTGGATATCATTTCGTTTGCCGACGAGGATTCTTTAAGGAGAATGATGCGTCAGGCAAAATTTAGTGAAATGCTTATAAATTCTGTCATACTATTCTAACCGAAATAAGACTATGAGCAAGAAATAAAATGTATTTATAGGATTCCCAAATAATCACGCGCTCTTTTTCTCTAAATATTCCTAGACCCTACTACAAGAATACTAATCTATTGCACAAGACTTAATCCCTTCGCCATCTTGGAATCTTTTGTTCTCATTGTTTGAGACGCCATCTTGAAATGATGGAATCTGCATTTTTCCCATACATTACCTTCTAATTTCTTTCAAATGGTCGATACTCTCAGAACCAACTCACGATGGATTTTACCACGATTTTTAAATCAAAAATTGCAAGAAAAGGTTTAAAAAGGAATCACTGATACGTTTTATAAAGTAAAAAAAGGAAAAAAAAGTGAAGCGTCCAGGATTCGAACTTGATCCTAACGTCACCGGAACGATGTCCCACATGAGAGTGAAGTGTGAGTGCAATAAAGTGTGATTCGTAACCGAGTGTACATTGAACACCCGAAAATCTAGATGCGAAACGTTGAAAACAGTGGGCTTGTTCCAACTATATGGTTTAGTTCATCTGTTTATAAGATGCGGAGTAGCACAAGTACTAGGCACTGTCTGGGGCTAGCCTAACTTCCTCCCCTTGTTGCTTTTCGCCTTCACTAAAGCAAAACAATTTTTTTTTTATTTTTTTTTCTGCGTGATTGTGGATACTCTATTGTCCCAGAACCGGCTCTTGTTAAATACTATATTTTCGTTGCGTCTGTGTGATAAAAAGTAAAAAGATTGGAAAGGAATGGCTGATATCACTTACCAGTCACTCTTTTCCAATACTTAAATAATGAATATCGGATTTTTATATGTGGAAAAAAGGTGGTGGTGGTCAGGATTCGAACCTATTGGGAAATAAAAAAAGAAATTGGTCCCTATATTACGCGTTTGGGAATCGCGGGTTCGATTAGCCATGCTAGATCTCCCCGAATAAGCTATGAGAAATAATTGTATTTATTGGTACGCCCACACGTTTTTACAGACATGTGATTGACAAGCTGTCATAGCGTGTATAAAGTGATCGTTTCGTATTTCACTTGCTTCATTTTTACGAGATGCCATTCGAAATAAATTTGTCATGCGAATGTGGCCGATGCGATTCTTGTCTATATATTGACGAGATAGAAAAAGAAGCGCGGTACAGCGTAGAAATCCGTGAATTTAGAAAAAAATATTTACCAAAGTGGACACAAGAAATGACAGAAAAGTTTGCTTTACTTAGAATTGAATGATGCCTAAAGATTATAAACCGGAAGAAATATGGTTTCAATGCACAACGTAATGGTATTATACATCTTATTTTTGCCGTTATTGTCCGAGATGTCATTCACCAATGCGTCGTCTTGTCAACGAACGCCCGATGGATATACCCTAAAATCGAGACACAGCGAACGATCGTCATTTTTTATCAGCAGTCACCGTCATCACTTTGTGCTGGAGTAAATTAGTTGTGTGAAAGAGTGGATAGCGTGAACGCGATGGCACATACGACGAGAGCTGGACGAGTACGACCGTGGACTGTGTCTCAGGACTTGGTTGGCATGATGTATGATCTCCGCGTTGCAGCAAATGCAAGAGAATTGGAGTCTAATTTAGAATCGATCGATGAAATGATAGTGATGCGTGAACCTCCATCACCAGAATTTCCTAAAGCTCAAAGAGAAGTGGTACTGGCGTTGAAAAGATATTTGGAGCAGTTAAAAGACACGAGAGAACCAACACCGGCCATGAGAGAATTAGAGGGGGCACCCATAAAAGCGTTGGGGATGTTAGAAGATTTGTTAATAGTGGTGGCTGATCATGCTACCGATAACGACTTGTGGAAGTTAGATGCAAGAATCACAAATTCCATTTTCAAGCCATCACCCTTTGATTTACCGGAGGAAAAAAAATTCAGGTCTGCGTACAATTTTGTCCTTCAAGCCTTTTTACAATACGTTCGACATTGTAAAAACCAACCGCCAGCTAGAAGTTACGATTCTCCAGTCTATTCTTGTTGTTCTTCGGACGAATCGGATGAGGAGGACGGGGACGAGGTATTTCATGACGCATAAAACCCACGAGACACAGAGTGAATGACAGTCATTTAGCAGTCACCATGAACACTTATGCTTATTCTTCCTAGTTCTTCCGTTTCTTCCCTTCGCAACAGCCTCCTGAAAAAACGTCTTTCTTTTTTATCCGACTCATCTAAAATGCAGTGCGAGATCGCATTGAGGTTTTGGTAATAAATTTGATTGTAATGAAATGTGTGTAGTCATTTATGTTTCGATGGAGTGTTGTGATGAGCTTTCCGATTCGTATCCCAAAGAAGTATATTACCAACCCTATTTATGTCCACACAAAATCTATAAATTCGATACACATGCCTGTACCAAAACGGGTCGCACCCGCGTCTTACTGCACGCCATCTTAGGATTTGAAGACACACTGTCCTAAGAAATATGTCATCGCCTCATTTCTCGCGTCGCCGACTATAGAGATGTGTGGGTATTTCTGGTACTCATTCGCGAGATTTTAAAACAACACGAACCGTTTATTCCCCCGTGCCGAAACGAAGATTTTGACGAGTGGTGTCATCTCGTGGACCATACAGTCACTGAAAAACTAAGACGGTTTGGTATTCCCAAAGGAGCTCACATGCAGCTGTACTTATTTACGCATTGGTACGAATTTCCGAGAGTGGGTAAGAAACTTCGGAATCTATGTTTTACGTTCGAGGA